TGAAATGAGTTAACGCTTAACATAAAATCTATGTACCAATTACTTTGTGTGTTAAAAAATATGCAAAGGAAATGAGCGAACGCTAACATTAGCCAAAAACTTTGTCAATGTCGACTTCCGAGCGCAGTCGATGCCGTGGCGCGCCATGGTCTTTGCGAGCGTATATGTAATTTGCCTTCACGGGTCCACACATACCTCCACTTAGCACGGGTTGCCTCCACACGAGCCTTGTAAAAAAGATTGCGATTTGTAGGAGTTAAGCGTTCATTAACATAAAAAGGCCTAGCAGCTGAATTTAAACCTAAGCCTGCAGTAGTCGCGTCGCGCCGCACCCGCGCCGCCGCTAGCAGCTGATCGCGCGGGGCGCGCCGTGCCAGTCGCGCCACCAGGGGGCGCGGGCGAGGCGGCGCGTCTCCCGCCGCCGCGTGCCGCACGGGGCCAGCTCGCTGCACACTCACAAGGTCCTGTTCTTCCAGTTTAACTCCTAGTTTTTGAGCGACCGTGAGTACGATGTGAGAGCAACGCTCATTCTTTTCCTCAGGTATTCCTGAAATTTCTATGTCGTTACATAGAAGTTCCTGGTCACGATCGTTCAAGTCCAGTTTCAGTTCTGCAACTGTGCGCTCTAGGGCCGCGGTACCGGGAGAGTTGGTGGTGTCCCCACTCTGTTTTTCGACAGCATCCATCCGTGCCTCTAGCCCGTCGATCCGCCTATTGCATACTTCGACGGCAGTGGTGAGGCTGTTTAAGGTGCCCCGGAACTCCTGCATCTCCTCACGAACCGCTCTCATCTCCTCCCGCAGCAGTCTGATTTCAGTGGCGAGTTCAGCAGCCGCCGATGTAGGCGTCGAGATGTCTGTGGCGCCCTCTGCCGCACGTAGTAGGGGAGGGCTTGATGGTGAAGCAGCCGGTGGTGGTCCTGCGTTCATGCGCCTTCGAGTGTTGACGTTGGAGATCTCTGGTTTTACGGGAGTTTTGCTGTTATCTTTTTTAGGCATTTTATTTTTGCATTCATCACATTTCCAATTATCTTTGTGTTGTTTGGTCATGGTGTTGTAAAAGCGCTGCTCACTTACGTTGACGCATATGATGTCATACTTTTTTGAGCATAACATTATAAGCGCTGGTTAGCAGCACTAATAATATTTAATAATGCTCAAAGCCGTATTATTTGGGGCCCAAATTGCGCTTACAAGACACTTATAGACTTTTATACGGCTGATATAGTGCTACATATTTATTTATTTATTTATTTATTTATTTATTTATTTATTTATTTATAATCTGCTTGAAGGCTTACAGAAAGTCCAACGCGCCAACAAGTTATACAATACAGATAATTTATAATAGCAATTTCAATATGTAAAATTGTCAAATAATTAAAACGATAAATTAAATAATAGTCAAATAACATTAAAATTAAATACATAAAATAATTAAGTCCAAAATAGAATGTCATATCTAAGACTACTAATAAGAATAAGAGATAAATACATTTATGTCCAGAGATCAATGTCAAAGTTATTCAAAGTTATTACTTACACAAAAATCTATGAATTAATACCATTATTGTACCTAAGCGGTCGGCAAATATGTCGATATCGTGCTGAGCAACTAAGTCCCCGATTAAACGTAATGCGCGGGTAGAAGGCGCGCTCGCTGCGCGAGTGGTGCGCGTGACCGGCCGGCGTAGCAGCCTAGGGCGGCGACGCGGTTCAACCATCCCGGTAACATCCCGTGGTATGCGCGTGGGCACTGATAAGCCTACTTTCGCTAATATTTGTGGACTATCAATTTTGCCATGTATAATCGACAAATAGTATATTATACTTGACATTATCCTCCTAAACTTAAGGGTTTCCAAATCAACCATGCCGGAGACAAACAAGGACGGGTACAAATAGGGGTAATATCCGTATCTCTTTTTATACAGCCAGCGAGCAAACTTGCGTTGAATTTTTTCTATCATTAAGGCATATTTATCCTCGTAGGGATCCCAAATGACAGCACCATACTCAAGCTTGCTACGGACGTATGCGCTATACAATATCTTAGCTACCCTAATATCGTCAAATTGAGCAGACGTCCTTATAACAAACCCTAATAACTTACTAGCCAATTTACAAATTTTTGTCACATGTTTGTGAAAGTCCAACTTAGAATCTAGCATTAAACCTAGGTCTCGTATGTCAGCGACTCTTTCCAGTGGAGTGTCATATAAATAATAATTAATATTCAATGGAGAACGTTTACGTGTAAAAGTAATTACTTTACACTTGTCAGTATTAAATGCTAGGCGATTGACGAAACTCCATTCTAATACCGCATCAATGTCGCTTTGCAATGCTATAGCGTCTGGAACACTGGAGACACCCAAACAAAGTTTGAGATCATCCGCAAACAGTAGGCATTCAGAAAATTTAACACATGTAGGTAGGTCATTTATAAAGATTAAGAAAAGTGTGGGTCCAAGGGTGCTACCTTGACTGACACCTGATCGTGTGTAGTATTCATCAGACTCAAATCCATTCACTCTTACAAATTGACTTCGATTTTCAAGATAACTGGCAAAAAAATCCAAAAGTTTTGGAGTTAATCCTATAAGAGCCAGTTTCTGAAGGAGAATATCATTATCTACCATATCGAACGCCTTTCTGAAATCAAAGTAGGCTGCATCTACCTGATGACCAGCATCCATCTCAGCGTGCACATAATCGACATGCCTAACCAGGTTAGTAGTGGTCGATCGTGCTTTTCGAAAGCCGTGCTGATCATCATGCAGCAAGTGGTTGACTTGTTTGCCGATACGTAGATTCAAAATTGATTCCATAATTTTCGCAAACACTGAAAGCACGGCAATAGGCCTAAAACCAGAGACATCCATAGTGGACTCCCCCTTAGGAATAGGCGTAACCCGCGATGTCTTCCACTGCTTCGGGTACTTAGAGCGTCTGAGACAGAGGTTGAATATGTACAAAAGGGGCTCCTGAAGAGCAGATATGCAGTCCTTAGCAAGAAACACTGGAATACCATCGGGGCCACCAGATGATCGCGCCTTAATGCGCTTCATTGCTTCTCTTAGATCAGATTTGTCAATGATATCTATAGAAATGGCAGTGGCATCCGCACGTGCTGAACGTGCAGCCTCACCAGAATCTAGCTGTGGAACCTCACTCTGAAACACTGAGCCAAAGTATTCGGCAAAGGCGTCGGCTGCAGCCTGACCAGTCACTTAATATCATTATCTACCATATCGAACGCCTTTCTGAAATCAAAGTAGGCTGCATCTACCTGATGACCAGCATCCATCTCAGCGTGCACATAATCGACATGCCTAACCAGGTTAGTAGTGGTCGATCGTGCTTTTCGAAAGCCGTGCTGATCATCATGCAGCAAGTGGTTGACTTGTTTGCCGATACGTAGATTCAAAATTGATTCCATAATTTTCGCAAACACTGAAAGCACGGCAATAGGCCTAAAACCAGAGACATCCATAGTGGACTCCCCCTTAGGAATAGGCGTAACCCGCGATGTCTTCCACTGCTTCGGGTACTTAGAGCGTCTGAGACAGAGGTTGAATATGTACAAAAGGGGCTCCTGAAGAGCAGATATGCAGTCCTTAGCAAGAAACACTGGAATACCATCGGGGCCACCAGATGATCGCGCCTTAATGCGCTTCATTGCTTCTCTTAGATCAGATTTGTCAATGATATCTATAGAAATGGCAGTGGCATCCGCACGTGCTGAACGTGCAGCCTCACCAGAATCTAGCTGTGGAACCTCACTCTGAAACACTGAGCCAAAGTATTCGGCAAAGGCGTCGGCTGCAGCCTGACCAGTCACTTCATTGCCGTTAAACTTAAAAGCATCGATGTGACATCTCTCCCTCTTTTTATCTTTAACATGCTCCCAGAATTTACCCGGGTCGTTGATAATATTTTTTTGGAGTTCTTTCAAATTTTGCTTATGAGCGTTGTCTATTAATATTTTAACTCGCCATCTATAGAATTTAAAAAGTTCTTTGTTGAACTCCTTACCTTCAGTCCTATAGCGTTTCAAATAAAGTATTTATTCTTAATATCACGTATAATGTCTGCAGTATACCATTTAGGATAAATGTACCGTTTATTACACGTGGATTTGATTTTAGATGGTACAAAACAATTTATGCTATCATATAATTTTGTATAGAACAGTTCTACAGCTGAATCTGCATCGTCAACGCCAAACAAATCAGACCAATCCATAGCAGCCAGCGTCCCATATAAACCTTGAAGGTCAGCCTTACGCCAGTTCCAATCAGGCCTAGTTTTAGGGCGTACATCAGTAGGTGGCGAGGTGGGCAGGAAACCAATCAAAAGTTGAAATCTAACTTCAAGTACAGGATGGTACTGGTCTATTGGCACTAAGGGGTCCAATCCTGTAGACACCGTAACCTGCTCGGGTTCGAGGTTGCCCAACACGAGATCTAACATACCACCATATCTATTTAATACATTATTATATTGCCGGAGATTACAGAAGTCACAAAATAGATTAAAATTCATGTTAACGTTAACACTACATGACTTCAGATTAAAGTCACCTATAACTAAAACATTCATATTCGGGTAGGTACAGATTACATTTTCAATACATGTCAATACATTTAGATACTGTTCATTATTGTAATTTGGAGGCAGGTATACAACACAAAATAAACAACTGATTCCTTTAAGATTTACAATAGCTAAAACTAATTCCATGTGGGGTGTGAGACCATCAACATCTTTAATCACTCTAACATTGAAACAATCCCGTACTGCCAACAGAACTCCTCCCCATCCAGAATCTCCCGCACGGTCCTTTCGAACCACAGTGAAGCCCGGTGGAAAGAGCTCACCATCGGACACGGAGCTTGTCAAGAATGTCTCAGTCAAAGCTATAATATCATAACTCGACTGAGTAACATTATTAAGAAATACGCTAGTTTTAGACCGCAGCCCTCGAACATTCTGGTAGATCAAGGACACATTTTTGATTCGTCTATGACTCTGACTTTTTACTTTCCTTGACACGAAAGGACTGACGCCAAGGCTTCACGCAGATGTCTTCTGCCCAGTTATTGGAAGACATAACATTTTCAGCATATTTTGCAGGAACTCCCAATTTAAATGATGCATAGCGCCCACGTGGCTTTAATGCCTCCACTGTGCAAATGTCACTATCACAAATAGACTTAAGATGGGTACGCACCTGCTCTACTGTAGTACCTTCCTGTACATAGTAGAGATGAAGATATCTCCATCTCTCGGCAGCACATAGTGACGTGGCTCCGGGCACAGCAGTTCCTCGCAGCACGCCAGGGAGTGAGGTATGCGCACGTTTCCGTCTCACTTGTATCCAGCCACCGTCGTCGGCTTCTTCATCTTTTTTGCCAGAGATAGGAGNTTTTCGTCTCACTTGTATCCAGCCACCCTCGTCAGCGTCTTCATCTTTTTTGCCAGAGAGAGAAGTCTGCGTGTTTTGAGTAGCAGAGATGATCCTAGTAGGCGTACCGTTGCCGTTAGTAGCCTCAGTCTTCCTCCTTCCTTCTTGCTTGTCCGATGGTTTACGTTTGTTTGTGATTTGTTTCAGATTAGAGTTAGAAGATCCTTGTTTGAGATTAGAGTTAGTAGACCCAGGAATGATGTTGATTTCCCTAGGGGCCTTAGGAATTTTACTTTTCTCTGGTCTTGTACTGGAGGCGTCCATATCTTCAATCTTCTTCTCCAAATCTGTTACTTTCGTTGTCAAGTCATATATTTTGTCCAGTAATTCAGATTTCAATACTGAAAATTGTTCAGCGAGTACTGTACTGATTTTATCTGCCAATCGGGCTTCAAATTCATCTTGAGCCTTTTTCAGTTCTTTCAATAAGGTAGCTTGCATACAATCTAGGATATTTTTACCGGATCAGGATCATTTTGCTTGGTGGCTTGAGCGTAACGTGCTCCAGCGCGTACAGTTACCCTGTCGGGGCTGCTCATTGATATATCTGGACAATCACTAGAGATACTCATATCATGCAAATTGTGATGACGTATAGGAGTATGAGAATTATCGGTTTTTGGAATCTTACTGCGGCATTCCACACAGATCCAAGTCTTCTTAAATTCAGGTGAAAGTGTAAGGAACATGCTTTCAGTAAAGTTGGCGCATAAGATATCGTAAATTTTCTTACACTTTANGATAGGAGTCTGCGTGTTTTGAGTAGCAGAGAGGTTTCTAGTAGGCGTTCCGTTAGTAGCCCCGGTATTTCTCCTTCCTTCTTGCTTGTCTGATGGTTTAGGCTTGTTTATGATTTGTTTGAGGCTAGGGTTAGTAGACCCAGGAATGATGTTAATTGCCCTGGAGACCTTGGGAACTTTGGTTTTCTCTGGTCTAGTGCTGGAGGTACCCATATCTTCAATTTTCTTCTCTAGATCTGTCACTTTCATTGTCAAGTCAGATATTTTGTCCAGTAATTCCGATTTCAATACCGAAAACTGCTCAGTAAGTACTGTACTGATTTTCTCTGTTAATCGCGCTTCAAACTCATCTTGAGCCTTTTTCAGTTCTTTCAATAGGGTAGCTTGCATACAATCTAGGATATTTTTTACCGGATCAGGATCATTTTGCTTGGTCACTTGAGCATATCGTGCTCCAGCGCGTACTGTTACCCTATCGGGGCTGCTCATTGATATATCTGGACAATCACTAGAGATACTCATATCATGCAAATTGTAATGACGTATAGGAGTATGAGAATTGTCGGTTTTTGGAATCTTACTGCGGCACTCCACACAGATCCAAGTGTTCTTAAATTCAGGTGAAAGTGTAAGAAACATGGTTTCAGTAAAATTGGCGCATAATATATCGTAGATTTTCTTACACTTTACACATTGCATAAATGCTCCTCCATCGTCGATCCTTCCGCGGCATCCCGCACACCAGTAGCCCCTTTCAGCCATCCCGGGACGAAGCACTTGACCGCACGCAGCACAGCACTAGTAGGCACGATGATTCACACCGAGCGCCGCCCGGGTTCAAATGGCGAAGTCCGCGAACGATTATTTCCAAATTGTTTTCGCTTATATCTTCGGTGTCCCTTAGAAGATTGTAACGGGAGTCACACCACTAGATAGCTTAGGTTTTCCGCTACAGAAGTAGTACCGATATAACGCCAATCGGTAACTTTTGACCACTGTTAAAGACAAATTTTACGGAGCAGACAAATACAGTTGTTTACTAGTAGACTCCCCGAGAGCGTATCCGTATATCCGTATATATCCGTATATATGCTGCTCATATACTGCTCTGCACGTAGGTTCATGCTGTTGTACGCTTCTTATAATTGTGTTTTGTGTTACTTGGGATAGGACGACCACTGAACATAGGCCTCCCCAATGCTTTCCATGTTGATCAATTGGTAGCGGCCTGCGTCCAGCGCTTCCCTGCTACCTTTATGATGTCGTCGGTCCACCTTGTGGGTGGACGTCCCACGCTGCGTTTTCCGGTACGCGGCCTCCATTCCAGAACCTTGCTGCCCCATCGGCCGTCAGTTCTGCGTACTATGTGCCTGTATTATTTGCAATCGAAAAATACCAACTGTAGAGCTTACAAAAAGGTTTAAAAGTTATCCCGTTCGGTTTCCAGGGCAATGTTTGAAATTAAAATATGTTTCCCACAAAAGCAATAACTGAATTCCCGCTTCAATAACCTATGCCAATTCTGCGGAGCGTTTTCATTCAGTTTTTATATTTTTATTTTTCTCTACAACACCGGAGGCATATGACTTGCAATTTTTTTAGGTTGTGGTACGACCTAAAATTAATAACTTAACCTATAGGGTTGAGATGCACCATCTTACTATAGTTTTAGCAAACGTCAAAAAACTGTCAAACTCCATACAAAAAGCACCGGCTATTGTTATAGTTACGGTTAAACTAAGTTCTTTCAATCCCTCAATCAAAGGCCCTTTTCCATAGGAACATGACTGTGGAGGTAATAAAAGATTTTTTCTTAAACAAAAAACAGACATTAGTTGTTAGTTAATCGAAATCTCGTTGATCCAGAATTAAATCAGTTTGACAACCACAGTAACCTCGAAATATATAAAATCCTACGCAAGGCACAAAAGAGCTGAGCAACTTTAATTGAAGACGAGCTAGAATAAAGAAATTCACCTATAACTTGACAAGGGTTGACTACATCGAAGTCCTTGTCGATTTACAATCTCAATCTATTGTATTGTTGTCCAGGACATTTCTGGGGTAACGACAAGGACAGTGATTGGGAAGGCAATAAATACTTGGAACAAAACCGGAATGGTCTAAGGGTTTTGCCAAACAGAATGCGTACCTAGCGCGCTAGAACGCTACACGCTATAGCGCCGAATTGTGTTGGTAGAATGTGGATAGTTTCGCGTAGATAAATACACCTAGCGAAATATAGCAACAAAGGACTAAGCGAGCGAGATGTTACTAGTAGCAACATTGTGTGATAGAAAGAGATGCGTGATGCGACGTAACATAACCGGTTTTGCAACTATTTGACAGTTCGATAGCACCCATTGGCACGCTGAAAATTTGAGCTCTGAGATTTTTTTAGGATTTTTTTCGTAGATGTTTATGAGAAATAGTACTTCAGAAACGTGGTGACTGGTGTAGTGATTGATTGTTGTACAAAACAGTGAAATAATCCTGAAAACTGATACACAAATGACGTCCTGTGACATCCTAAAATTGGTTTCGTTTGACTGCTCGAAGGTTGCTCTATTCCGAAGGAATATTAACTAATGTGTCAAACAGCGCCGGCGTTAGGACCATAGGCCACGACAGAGCATTGTGTACTGCATTGACATTTGGAAACTGTCTACATTTCTACCGCTATAGCGCTATTATAGCGCGTACGCGTTCTATTTGGTACCATCAAAAGGTCAAAGGACTAAAGAAAGTTTTTAATATTCTCCCTGCAACTGTGGAGCTGATACTTGAAACTTTATTAAATATAAGATTTGTGCAGTTCGTCGACCTTCGTCCGATCTAGCCAAATGAGGGATTTAAAATGCAATAGTGCTGTGAGCGTCATAACAAAGATTAGAGTCGGAGTGCTAACCCTCTCAGCGTTATGATCCGAGTTTCATAGCGATATCAAACCTGAGATGGGATCAAAAAACGAGAAAGACTTGTTTAGCATGTCGATGTTTTACTAAATATACGCGGGAAACATAACGACACTGAACTGACATTTTAATCTTGCAGAATAGAGAGAGACATATTAAAATCACCAGATCACCATAATACGGCTTTTTTAACAAGTGCGTTTCTTAGGCTGAGTTGCACCATTTAATTTAATTTTGACAAACTTCAAAAATGTGTCATAGTCCATACAAAAAGCACTGGTTATTGTTAGTTACCGTCAAAGTAAGTTGGTGCAACTCAGCCTAACATTCATCTTCATATTTGCTTAACTCATAATTTTATTTCAAGTTTATCTCCTTTAGTATAACTTTATTATGTTATCATTTCTCCACCATAAACCACCATAATTTTAATGATAAATATTTTACAAAGTAAACAGACGAAACCCATCCTTATCTTTTTGTTTACCGTGTAAATCTCTGAATTCGTTTTGGAGGCAGATACCGCAGACAAAAGTCGTAAATGATACCTTTAAAGGTAGAATAAGCAACGGCTTTATTCTGTGAAGTTCATTTTATGCGATAGTGACCAAAAATAACTAAATGAAAAATACTTTTTATTAGTTACAAAATAAAGTACGCCTAAATGTTACTACACTAAAGAATCCATCTGGTTGAGTTAGGTAATATTTTTGAAGTTGCTACGAGTAGGTACTTACCAAATTAAGATTAGTCAAAGCAAAATGGAACAGAACAAATTGGCCGCCATAGATTAAAGAGAGAATACATTTTCCAATTTGTATTACCAATAAGTAAATCGTGAATTTTTTTGCGATTACGTAACACCATTTGGTATTCAAATGTATTTGTCTCTTCAAAATTTTTATGTAGAGACATAAAGTATACCTAATGACACTTACACCCGTATTATTCACCAACGATGTTTGCTTAAGTGAAGCAGCAAATCGAACGCACAGCGTTGAATAGAGCTCTGTGATTGGTTCGTGTGTCACCCTGTGCGCACTGTGAGATCTCACAGTAATTTTTGTGAATACGGGAGTGAATAACTGTTTAAGAAAGAATAAAATCAGTTACAAATTACAAAAACTAAAAAGTTTCCACATCAAACGATTCAAACGCCCCCCATTCATTCCCATTATTCCTACCTGTCAGCGACAATAACCCTGACCCGAATAAATTAATAATTTAACTTGATAAGATTACAAATCTATGTTAATGTTTAAGTGATTCAGTAACAGAGTTCCTCTGACAGCTTAATCTTTGAATTGAATTAACAAAGGACACTGGGCAGGGACACAAAGTAGATAGGAGCAGAAGACAATCTACTGTTAACTGTGAAAAATCTAAAACGTTAAAATAACGGTATCGTTATAACCAATGAGCTGCTGTCATAGTGACATTGACGTAATGTCAATGTCATACTAGAAACTTCTGATTAGAGATGAATAATAAATAATTGTATTTTAAAAATGAGGCAATGTAATTATGAAAGTTAAGTATCCAGTGTTTTATAAGAGAATTAGGTCTACCGGTTCGGGCAACGCACACATAGACAACGCTCGCGGACACGATATCGCCAATAATCGCAAACCAGTCTAAACCACTGCGAGCGCGAGTGCCGCTGTGTGCGTGTATGCAAAATGAAGTACATACAGATTGTCTTCTGTTACTACACTCGCGAGCAAAAGTATGGAATCACTTACATGAAGTTGTTTCCACGCGATCTTGTGTACTAACGAATTTGTGAGGACCAAAAAAAGTGGCACCATTTTAAAGATTAAACTTTTATCTTTAAATTGATACCAAATTTATTTAAATCACACCAGTATTTAAAAAGATATCGCGGCTGCAAACATCTACAGTGGTGCGCCAACGCTGCTTAGACCCGAAACATGAATGAATGGGGGCGTAGTTTAATCGAGCGTGTGTGTGCAAACAATTTAGGCCCTTAAGGTGTCAAGGCGTCCGAGTCCCCGATAGTACCTACCAGTACTACCACTACTTGTAAGTCTTGTAACCTTTAATTTAGATTAAGGACATTTTTTTAATTATCCTGNCGAGTGTATGTATTTTGTGGCAGGGATCAGTTGTTGTTATTTATGTACGGCCATAATTTCGTGACTTGCAATAGCTCTTTGTATTAACTGACAGAGGTTTTGCATTGTAATTTTAATTAAATAAGTGGTTTAAATGGTATTTTCAAACACCTGTCTAAATGCTGTAACATAATATTCTAGTCTAGTCACAATGTCTGTTAAAATACTATGTAATTAATATCAAAGCATTCCTTAATATTGTTAGCATTTCATCACCCTTGCTCTTAAATGGCTTTTAACTCGCTATCAGACTATTCAGGTTATTTATTACTCAAGACAAATATTTTAATGTTCATTATTTTTAAAAGAATCAGCAAAGAGTTTTATGGATAAAAACTGACTGACTAACCTTATTTGTGAAAAACTAACTGTAAACCCACATACAGGCTAACATTGTTAATAAAAAACCGTTTATTGAATTATTTTCTTTACAATCTAACATAATTTTGTTTTATACGTATTAAAATAACTCAAAAACAGCCAGTTAATATTTTATAGACAAAGGTCAGTCGTTTGTACTCGACTTCATTTCAAAATATAATACCCTGTTTAATCTGTGGTCAGCCACGGTTCCCGAAAAAAAGTTACGCGCCATTTTTTACAATGTAAGTAAACAAATTCTATAGCATCGTCATTGGTATTTTTAAGCAGTTCATAATTTTGGGTTGCACCATCTTACTTTAACAGTAATGATGACGATAACCGGTGCTTTTTGTATGGAGTTAGACAGATTTTTGACGTTTGTCAAAGTTAAAGTAAGATGGTGCAAGCAACCAAGGTGCAACCAAGCCTACCATACACCATAGGTTACCTAACCTCAGTAATGTTATTACTCTAAATCGCGCGGGCGAAAACCGCCGAGCGGGACCCGATTACAACCGCGCCCGCTGCGGGCGAAAACCGCGTCGTGAATTTGTGCATTAGTTTTTACATAAGTATCTGCATTCTACAGAAGCTGCGGGATCGCAACCGCCGCGGGTGCGGGTGAAAATCGCGC